GCGAGGTAATGCACTTCTTTCTAGCCCATTCTACTCTACTCTTTCTTTTTCTATCCTTGTCTCCAGCAATGCCCAGGCTCATGAGTTCCGACAGACTGGCCATGGAAATGCAGAAGCAGTTCAAACAGCTGGAGACAAAGAAAACTAAAAGCTCCGGGTATGCACCGCCTTCTTCCTGCTTCTCCCCTCCCTTGCTGCATTCTTCACAATAAGCTGGTCCTTTTGCAGGCGGCCAGAGTTGTGTGTGTGCGATGCCTAGCTACTCTCTGTATTTTGTCCCTTTCAGCCAACGGAACAAAGGCGGATCGCATCGCAAGAGCAAAATGGCTGCTGCCGATCTGGGTGATGAGGATGCTGACCTGTCACCAGCTGTACAAGTCAGTACGGTCTTGGATCTACCCGAGGTTAGGTCGCGCCTCATACTTTTCGACCTTTTTTGACACCATCGTGGCTTCTCGCCGCTGCACTGTTTTTGGGCTCGTACCTGTTTTTTTCGTTTCTGTTGTTGGCCAGCTAATTTTGGGTTATTCTTTGGTTGACAGTTGTTTTTATGCCGGCGAGGACAAAGGAAACTTGAATGGCCATTTCTGACTTATTAGCCATCCTCAGCCAGGCATGCCCAACCCCAGGCGGTCCAGCGGCTCCAGAGGCCCGAACCCGTGACCTTTTGCTCAGAAGCCCGGCGCTTTAATCATCGAGCTCGTTTTTTGTGGTCGCTTCGTTTTGTCTGCCTACACTACCGGCCGCTGTGCGGCTGCTGACGGAACTCGAGAGTGAGCCCCAAGGCAGAACGGGACGAATGAGTTGCATTAGCGATTGATGAACGTTAATCAACGAATTTCAATAACTGCCGATCTAAACTGACACTACAACGGGCTCCTGGCTCGGTGGTTAGAGCGTTGGACTTCTAATCTAATAGCTCGCAAGTTCTAACCTCGAGTGGTGCACCACTTATGACTGGCTAACGAGGGCTAATAAGTCAGAACTGGTAATTTACAGTCTCCCTTGTCTTTTCCGACAATGCTTTCTGTGTTAGATGGTCTTCTCGGTGAGCTTGCTAGGTTTCTTTACCCTTATTTCTGTTGTTAGCCTCTACCCTCAACGAAGTGGACTATTTGTGAACCATGTTTCTCCGAACCGACACAATCGGCCGTATTCATTGTCCAGGTTGGTTGGGTGGATTGAGCAGACGCTTTCTGCGGCTCGATCGACTGACGAGGGAAGTAGCTGCAATGATTTCCAACCGGACTTTGTTTTCCGTCGCCACGTTTGTTTTGCGTTCGAGTCCGGGGACCGCACAAATAACACCTTCTCAGCACAACAGTCATCAATTACTTGCTCGCGGACACTGGCCCTCAATCGATTGACCCTGTGGCCTTTTGGCCATTTTAATTACCTTGCTAAACTGTTTTTGGCTGGGAACATTATTCTTCTTATGGGGGGTTGTTAGATTCGGCACCACCTTAGGATTCTAAAGCTGATATCAAACGACGCGTATGAAGCCCTACAAGCTACCTGCAAATGCTGCTTTGCTTTTATTCGATCAGTGCTCACCCACGCTTAAAGGTGTTCGAGTTGCAGTAACAGCTTGCTCATCTCTCAGTTAGTCTTCACTGAAGGCTCTTCTACTCTCGAAAGTGCTGGGTGACTTATAGGTAAGCCATCTGATGGGCTGCGCGCCCCCCGGCGTGTTTTCAGACCAATCAATGCTTGTAAAATCCGTTGTGTCCTGTTGACCAGCTGGCTCATTTCTCTTTTTACCGTCTCCTCTCCTTTCCCTCCCCCAGGGCGTCACTCTGCATGAGCTGGATTCACCGGACGAACTTGACCAGAATGATCCCCACCGGCTGCTGGATATTAAGTTGGATATTCCACCGGAGCCTGAAATGGTGCCGTCCTCTGTGAAGAAATCGCCGGCGAAAAAGCGTGTCCCACGAAAAGCCAAGGAAACCTTATCCGCTGCAGCTGCCTCCGACGCCGGCGCCTCTTCCAAAAAACAGGTCCCTCTTCTGCACTTGTTATTCTTACACTCTTTTGTCAGTTGTCTCTTATGGAGGGGTTGGAGGAGACCGTTGAACCC